ATTGATTTATTTACTCTAGTTTGTAGATACTTGTGTTAATGTTGGCCGTTTATGATATAAATTGATTTATTTACTCTAGTTTGTAGATACTTGTGTTAATGTTGGCCGTTTATGATATACATTGATTTATTTACTATAGTTTGTAGATACTTGTGTTAATGTTGTCCGTTTATGAGATACAGAGTGTACTGCAATTAATTTCAAAATTATCCGTGTTATCAGATGATGATTTGGGCACATAATTGTTTCAGATGATGAATTCTAAGACGTTTCCGAAGATGAAGAAGAAGTACCTTAATGTGATACTGAGTTACGCTTGTCGTAGCCTCAAGGAGAAGGTATGTGGGTAGGTGAGTGTTAACCCTGTGAAAGAGAACAAACATTAATAAGATGTATGAAGAAAACCTTGGATAAAAGATGATAAAAAATAAGGTGATACGTCTAATGAAAACAATTTAAGTTTTATTTTGGTGCGACAGTTTGAGTAGATGCCTATTACCACGCAGTAAAGACTGTGTAACTCTTGACTTAACAATATAACAATGACTCAAAAGATTAGTAAAAAAAAAAGAACCAGAAAGAAAAAAAAATCTTAATTTTGTGAAAATTAAGTAATAGGGTATGAGTGAGCATCGTGCATAAAACAAATGTAAGAGATAGCTCAACTGACCAACAGAGGAAAAGGTGCATAAAGTATGAGCATAATAATATTAAACGAATGAAGGAAATACCATATTGAATCTTTTTTCTACCTAACTAGTACCTAATAAAATGGTGAATTAATAGCTAGATCAATTTTGCATAAGCTAAAATGAATTGTTTAATATTTTGGAAATAGAAACATGTTATGATGCTGGAATGCCAGTGACATATTCTATGTAGTGATCAGTTTATTTAGTTACAAAGGCTTCTCCATTCAGTGTCACTCTTAGGGAGTGATATTGCATAAATATCTCGTACTTTTATGTTTATACATCTTTTATATATAACATGAAAAAAATGTGGATTTTAAAAGTTAAAAATCTGCTATTTATGAGCTTAGAATAGGAAACACGAGTCTGCATTCTTTTCAATAAGGTGGTCAAAAATTTTAACCTAGCTTCCATCTTTGACTCAGTACGTATATTAAAGGTACAAATCCTCACCAACAGAATGAGAGAACTTGTTCGTAACAAAATAGTAATTACACAGAATTATGATATGTTTGTACAAAACGTCTTTGTAGAAGGTGGGAGTCATTCCAAACTGTTCTTTGTCATTTGTTACATGTATCATGTTTTATGACAGCAGGCATTTTCTGCAATTACATGTGGGTAAGCCTAATATTTCTAGTTTCTGCCTTTCCAGGATGCTACACTATAATCAGTTGACTGGTACTGATTATTTTCACCTGATCACTGAAATTGTCTGTAAGTTTAGTTTTGAAGAGTTTGTATGTTTTTGTGGTTTGAACATTTAAGCAGAAGTTACTCTAATGCAACCAAAAAGCAAAAACCACAGAAGTTCAGAAGTCACCTTTAGATTTCAAGGCTGACAATAAAAGAAGTTCAAACTGCAGATAATTCTTATATAAGACTCATGAGGATACATTCCGAAAAGTTTTTAAAGTAAAATATATAAATCTACCAATTTTACTTGATGTTGATGTGACAGCAGGATTACACCCACACAATCTTGCAAGATTTATAGAATCCAAAGCAATTATTCTGAAAATAAAAAATAATAAGATAGTTATTGGAACATAAACATGACTTATAAAATTCATGTTGTTATTTATGGGATTTGGAGAGCTCATCACAGTGTAGAACTTTGCCCTTTATATCAAAAATTAGTTACTGTTATCATGATGCCACTTGTTCAAGTCTGAAAAATATTGTAATTTCCTACTAATAGGCATAATGAGCCTTTATACTTCTAATTCATTTAGGCTAGAGAAATACACAGCTTACCATGTTCTCCTGACGATTCCTGGATCTACAGATCTCTTGTTTATCAGAAAATTGACCTGAACACGATGGAAGAGAAGATAACTATGAAACTGTACAAAAATCTTGCAGAGTTTTATTGTGACGTACTCTCTGTTGTACACAATGTTATAGTGATGTATGGAGGTAAGAACATGTTTGTATAATACATACATATATATATATATATATATATGAAGCAATCAGAAGAGGATTTAAAAACACAATATTATAGTGATGTATGGAGGTAAGAACATGTTTGTATAATATGATGCTAAATTATTTCATTGGTTATTGTTAAAGTGTAGTATGACAGACCTAGTGAGGCATTTCTAAATACTTATATGGATGATGCTAAATTATTTCATTGGTTATTGTTAAAGGGTAGTATAACAGACCTAGTGAGGCATTTCTAAATACTTATATGGATGATGCTAAATTATTTCATTGGTTATTGTTAAAGTGTAGTATGACAGACCTAGTGAGGCATTTCTAAATAATAGTATGGATGATGCTAAATTATTCCATTGTTAGTTATTAATAAAGGTAATTTAACAGAACTGGTTGTTTTAAGCTGATGTGACTTGATCTTTTACAACAAAACACTACTCCATAATGCAGTTTTTTTTTAGTTAAGTAAAGAAAGTAAATCTTTAATACTTAAGTTCTTTGGAAAAGTTTCTGTGCTCAATGATTGATTAGCTAGATAATGACAACATTTTACAATCATGTGGTTGTTTATATTCTGCAAGTACTAAGGTTAAGATATATAGTTTATAGTATAAACAAAAACTTATGTTATATATTTTTCTTGTGATAACATCGAAGACACTTGATATCAAGATTAACTTTTTTAAATAAGTGGTGATTACAAAGTGAAGTACTAGGTTGAAAATGGTTAAAAAAGTATACAGGTTTGTATGATACATATACATTTGTAGAATTATATTTCCAAAATGGTTAGGTCAATTTATATGACTATTTAAAGAAAGACAAATTGAATTTACCATCCTAGTTCACCTTATCCTCCACTCTGACTAGTATACTGTTTAAACAGGCACTTGTTTATATAACTGATCACAAGCAACCATGCACTTACTACCTGCATATACTTGTCATCCAATAATATATTGGCACATGGTGAGAGACAAGTCAAGTGTATTGGCATATGGGAAAAGTCAATACAAATGTAATATAATTGGAGTAACTTATAATGTAAAATTGAACAATTGGAGGATTTCTTTAAAAGATTGTTTTTACTGTTCTGAAAAATTGACTGGAAACCCAATTCAGTCATTAATAGACACCCATTATGAATTTGAAACCATGAATCTAACGGGTGTCTAAACTTTGAATATAAAACCACGAATCTAGTTTAGACACCCGGTGTGAATATAAAACCACGAATCTAGTTTAGACACCCGGTGTGAATATAAAACCACGAATCTAGTTTAGACACCCGGTGTGAATATAAAACCACGAATCTAGTTTAGACATCCGGTGTGAATATAAAACCACGAATCTAGTTTAGACACCCGGTGTGAATATAAAACCACGAATCTAGTTTAGACACCCGTTATGAATATAAAACCACGAATCTAGTTCTAGTCATTAGTCAAGTATTTAATGTAACTGAAAATAATTAATTATGAAGCATATTTCTAAAGTTAATAAGCTTGTTTTTAAATGTTATTGTCTCAGGGGAGAGTTCTTTAGCTTCACTGGCTCGGCAGATACTGGAAGACTGTGCTTATGACATGAAAGAGATCAGACAGTGTCATCGTTGTTACAAAATCTCCAATGAAAAACAGCATAAGTTCTGGTTTTGTGAGCCTTGTGTAAGTTGATCACATGTTAGATTTCTAAATAAATTTAACAGTTGTTGATTGTGTACATGTTTCAATAAAACATAAGACGTTTAGTTAGAAGTGCATGATGTAAAGTCAGTTTTTCTAGTCGTGATTCCTTAACTGGGATGAATACCATGCCCAAAAAATACTTACAATTGTATTGGGAAATCTTTTTTTTCTATTGAAAACAGTATTTTTATTTAATGGGTATTTAAACATTGTTCAATATCTGTGAGACCTAACAAAAGTACAAATTATTTTATTTTAATGAGTCTGTGATCTAAAAAAAAGGAGTTGTTGTAGTAGATACATAATGTTAATGATACCTTAGGACACATGTTAATGAATTATTATTATTATTTTATTATCAAATAGGACCCTCCTCATGAGCTAGTTTGGGCCAAGCAAAAGAAATTTGCATTTTGGCCTGCCAAAGTTATTCAGAAGCATGATAACTATTATGACGTCAGATTCTTTGGTGGCCTCCATCAAAGGTAAATATATTTTTCAGATACAGATGCATGTGTGTGTTTGTTTTTTGTTTGCAACATAAACTAATTAAAACTTTAACAGCCTGTAAGCCCGTAATAAGAGTTCAGTTTATAGAAACAAGTATGAGCTCTACTGTGATTAAACTTGCTATCTTAGGCATTTAGGGCTGCAGTGAATATAGCGTGTCTCGTTCAATGAGTTAACTGGTTAGTGGAAAGCATGGGGAAAACTAGGTATGCTTAGCCTTCAGAATTTTTTGCTCTTTTTATTAATTTGTATCTAGTATTAAATAACAATGTATTTCATAAAATCCAGTAATATACGTTTTTTTTTTTTTTCATTTAAGTTTTTAAGAATTGATCTTGCATCTTTTTTTATATATTTTGTTTGGGGGACAGTTTTCATTATTGCCATAGAGCAGGGATTTTCTTTCATTTGTGAAGGGGTGGGGAAGCTTCCTTCTATAAACTTATTTGTTTTTCCATTTTTTTTTTCTTCTTCTCTAGATGAGAACTATTGATTGAAAAGTTTATTAGATATAATTAAAACTACTATTTTAGAAATACTCATGAAAAAACTCTGGGAAAATACAACCAGACCATGTCTATAGATATATACAAGGACAGAAAATGTTAATACACCGAGACTAAACATTTACTTTACCTGTTGTCAGGAATGAGTTAGAGATTGATACAGACAAACCAATTATATATATATATATATATATATATATATTTTCCCAACTGATCAGATATTTTCAACAACTAATTGACTAGTAATCAATATTTTTATTAATCATTTATTTGATTGTTGTAAGATTTTTCAGACAAAACATACAAATACAGTCTTTTTCCTGTTGGGCAACGTGTTATTCCCTTTAAATAACTCGTGAACATAATACATTATTGTTTAACTATTTCATGACCTGGTGAATGCTGTCTGGCTCAAGTGCAAAATTTTGACATTGAATTAAAAAACTAAGTTGTTTTTTCATGCATTAAAAAAAAGCAGGGTTATCAAAAAATTGTATTTATTTAACTTAATACATAACAAGTTTAAATCTCAAAATTTTGATTTTGGGTTAATTTCAACATTCTCCAAACAAAATCGTTAATGTTTGTGAATTTCATGAATTTTTTTTCTGATCATAAAACAGCACTCGTAGCCCACTGCAAAGAAACTCGTAATAGTTTTGAACAAAATAATGCTAACTTGCCCTGTAATTAGTTTGAATACAAGTGTAGTATATCAATTTTTAGTCAATCACTGGTTCTCCACTTCAGTTGTCATGTAATTGTTTATATCTCAGCTTCGAGAAGTTATAGGCTAGTGAGCTAATGAAATATATTTTTCTGTTCTCTGTAGCTGTATGAAACTATAAGACTTCCAGGTTTATTTTAATAGAAACCCAGACCAAGGGATGAAAGTTTAGTTTGGTGATTTGTTGCTACAAGAAAAAGTTGTTTTTTAACAACTACTGCAATTACAGACCTGTTAATTTTAAACCTTTCAGAAAAAGCTTGTTACATCATTTTATACTTCATTTGAATTATGATGTTGAAGTATGAGAGTTTTTGTGAAACAAGATGAAGTAGGCTTAACTCTCTTGCTAAGAGTTTAGCTGAATCGATGAAGTTCGTGACCCCAAAGTGACCATTGTAGTTTCCATACTATAACTTTTAATATGATTTTGTATCTTCACAAAATTTCACAAGCTTTCAGTAAACATTACAAGTGTTTTGTACAGAAAAAATCGGAATTGTAATTAAGTATTTTTGCTAAAACTTTCTTCATGAATATATGGAGTCAAAGTGTTGGCTGCCCTGAGTGCAAAGTGATTTTCATGTTAAGATTAAGAATAATTTTCTTCATCTGAAAAGTGTCAACTTTCATTTGCTTAATCTCTAAAATCCCAAAATAAATATCAAACGTTTTTTATTTTGTTTTCAGTAAAACTATATTTTGTGTTATTTCCTCTATTCTAACTCTATACACATCTGGTCAATTTGACCGACCTCGTAACCTCCATAAATAAATCTAAATTATCCTTTTTTCGTTCTAGAATGATTGCAGATTGTAACAGGAAACTACAATTGTTTATTCTAAATAGATTAAAACTTGTAACCATATATATCTGTTTCTACTTAAATTTTATTGTTTTATTGCCCTTTGAACCATGTCTAACAAATACTCTCACCACACCAGTTGTTAATCACTCAAAGAACATGTATTTTACATTACCATGTTGAATTATGTAATGCACGAGCAAGAAATGTAGAACTTATCTGTACTGTCGTCGTCTTCTTTTTTATGTGTCAACTGTTGATGAAACTTAAACCTACTTTTTTATACTAATGGTACTACTGCATTAAATAAGTTTTTATTTAATTAAGTAATGCACCAAAGAACACAGAATGATAACATGCAAAAAAACAAACAATGTCTTATAACTACCATAATTTTTCTGGTTTTCTATGTGATAAGAGTCTTTAAAAATTCAGCTAAACTTATTGATGTGATTCCCATGAAAATAGATTTGAAACTGAATGATGAAATAGACAATGCCCTGTACAGAAAACACCATAATATAATATGTCATTTGACAGATTAAAACTTTGACTTTCTAATTCTTATAAATAATATAGTATAAAACATCAAAGAGAACTATTGGTAACTTAACATGTGGGCGTAGCAGTTGGGTCTGATTTTCCAGTTTATGTAGAAAAATAAGATTGAAGGCTATAAAAATTGTTTTGTCTGAGTAATATCTAAATTATGATGAGTACTTCTCGTTGGGATGGCAAATAAATTAGACGAGGAAGAACAAATATCACAATTTCTTATGGTAAAGTTATTACTCTATTATGCCAGTGATTGTAAACACAGTGAAACTGCATGCATTGTTTTATTTATTTATTTTTTAAATGATTTTAGAAGCATTTAACACGTAGGTAATTTTATGAAAACTGTTATTTTTACTATTTGTTTCATGCTGTGGTCAACCAGTGATTTTTTTCTCTCTCTCTCTCTCATATCTGTTTATGGGATTGTGGAGAGAAAAAAATTACTACATTTTTAAAATTGTAAAAAGACTGCATATGTCCATTCTTCAAGGTGTAGTAAAAACCTAGAACTTACTCGTTTTGTAAAATAGTGTATTAGATATTTTATCATCTTAAGGTAATACTGGACAATTCAGTGTGTTTGTAGAATTGATGTAGATTTAAATTTCAAGTTCTTCCTTGAACGTAACCTTTTATTATTATTTTTTATGTAATTGAAAAACTAGATTTGTATGGTCAAACAAGGTTGTGAACAAATGAGTTATTAAATTATTACTACCTAATTTATGTGATTTTGAACTAGGCTGCAGACAGTTCACATTATTGTATGTTTACATGCATGTGTGTTTGAACTTACAGTGCTTTGCAATTTTTAATATTTAGTGATAGTGGCATATTGGATTTTACTTTTAGGTATATGTATTGGTGGGGGTATAATGTACCAGAGACAAGGGGATGGGGGTATTGTCTATGAAATTTGTGAACCACTGTTATAGATGATCATTTTAATGATCTTAACAGTTTTTTTTTTGTTGTTGTTGTTGATGCCAATTAACCCATTGACTGCGCTGCTCTAAATGCACGCAGACATTTTGTAAGCCATATACAGCACACATGCATTTTACTACTGGATGCAGACAGTATCCTATATGGAGAATGGGTTAAGAATCGTTGAATTCATAATTATTAAGAAAGCTCCACAGTTAAGTATGTCTCAATCAGAATTTGTATTTTTTATAGGGCAGTTGTGAGTGAAGCTTGCGTAAAGCCAATCGCTACAAGTTTGTATCAGCTGAGAATAAAAAAGACTTCTACTTTCAAGAAAGCTCTGAAAGAACTTTACTATCATCAGAGACTTTTACATTTGAAAAAGAGAAAGAGTAAATGCTCATCTCCGTCAGTTTCAAAACTGGACATTAGAACCAAATTGAGCACTGAGAACGTTATGGAGCTTAAACCTACGATCGAAGAAGAGTTGCTCGTACCACAGAAATTACCTTCTCCAGTAGTGCATCAGGTACTGTAGCAGAGTTAATGATCAGTACATAGGAGGATTACACACTGCTTTTAAATTCCTCTCTAGATTTTTATGAAAGAATGTTCGTCTAAATCTTTCTAAGTTTACAAACAATAGTAACTTATAAGTTAGGGATGGATATAGTCTAGTGTGCTAGATTATTACCATGAAAAATCATGCTACACACTTTGAGTCATAGGTGTATTATAAGAGTGACAGATAAATCCGTCCAATCGGTTATGTACAGATATATGAAACAAATGTTTATTTATAAGTTTTAAACGTAGATATGTTATGAAGTAAAATTTTGCATATTGTAATCTCTTTCACTGTTCCAAAACAAACTAGCCACTGCTGAAGTTGGGACTACCGTGCAAGTCATGTACTATGTGTCACATTTCATGTCTTGTTTGAAATGTGGGAATTAAACCAATGGATCTCGTAAAACTAAAAATATCAAACAGATTGGAATTTCTTCTTTTACATTATATATTCAGTATTTCTCCCTTAACCATTCATAGTTAAAACTTAGTTTATCACTCAGAGGTGTGTTTGAAAGTAATTGATGTTCATGGTGTTTCTTGTGCCTCAACTGCCTGTTTGTATGATGATTTTTTTATTTTGTTGTCATCACACTTAGCTTCCTCAGTGCTCCTCCTCATCTTCCAGAAACAATAAGGAGAGACAGGTGACAAAGGGACATTGTGATTGCAGTGTTAAATACAATGAAATACTTAAAGAATTTCAGAGGCGCATAGAAGAAGAGTACAAAGTTAAAGAAAAGAGGGCACTGAAAGCACTTGCTGATAAGGTAAAAAATTCATTATTAACAATGGAATCCGAGTATTACTCTAAGAATATAAAAACGTTTTTCGATAATGTAACATACAGGACTTCCTCTTTCCATATGAAATCTATTTGTCCAATCTGAACAACAAAAATAACAATAAATTAAATTTGAATATAAAATTAAAACATTTTCGCACTGTGTGTGGCTCCACTTTGGTTTCTCAGTTTCTTGTTTCAGTTGGTCGCCTCCAACTTCTCAGGCAGTCAACATTGTCATGCTTGAATGTAAATTCGGTACCAATACCCCAAAAAATAGGAGCAGGCAGATATCACCAGCCCTTTGTATTATCATCTGTTTTAGGGCCCTGTCATCATGAAACTATACAACACTTTAAGTATACCAAATTTATATTCATGAAAATTAGCAAGCTTTTAGTAGTCATTACAAGTTTGTTATACACAAATAAATTCAGATTTTTTTTATAAATTATTTTAACTGAAGCCTTTATACTAAGTCAGTCTGAGTGAAAGGTGATTTTCACTGTAAACAATAACAATACTTATTTTCACCTTAATGTTTCATATTTCATCGTAAATGTTTGTTTTTTTCTAGTAAAACTTTACATTTTCTCTACCTTAACACTAACTGTACAGTGAAATGAAAAAATGTATAACACCTTTTTTACATGCATCATTTGTTGCTAGATCATCAATTATCTTCAAGTGTTAACCTTTTCTCACTGGACTTTGTACCAGCTGGAGCAGTAATCCTTGTGTCAATAATAATAAGACATGAAGTCTGTTAGCTGTTCCTTGTAAACAGCACATCCAGTGTGTATATGACCACCTAGGCCTCACATTTTGCACACTAAATTGGCTGTCAAAAAATAAATTCATGTAGCTTTCATTTATGCATTTTAGATCACAAAAAAAAATATTCATCATTAGAATATAATGTCCACAAAGTAATTTATCTGGCTTTCTGACTAAGCTATAAATAGATTAAAAAAATTCTGTTAATGCTCAGAGCAATTATTTAATATATTGAATTATTGTTATTTTTAAAGAAAGGGTTTACAAACTTTTTTCACTGTTGACTCCTCAAATGTCCCAAATCTGTATGACCCAATCTATTTCAACCATCCCAACTCAGCTTTGTTTGCTCCTTACGATTATTTTGTCTGTCAAACCTGTGACCCCACCAGTGCCTGTTCTTGCCCAGTGTTTTGAGAACCAGTTTTACAGGATAGTGTGTTCATTCAATAATACCATTGTGACTGTTTGTACTTCCAACTATAATAACCAATTTCATTATTAATGTTATATGTATACCAGTAAATCTCCAATACTTTTTCAAACCAGTGAACCTAAAAAATCTCACCCATTCCATTTATACTAAAATTCAGCAGGAGTTCAGGGGTAACGGGTGAAGTGACTGCAGTGTAAAATTGATTACTTAGATGTTTTTTTTATCTTTTCATTGTTTAAATAGTTTTCTAGGGCTGGTGTAAATTTAATAACTTAAAATAATCCCAACCTTTGGCTAATTTTATCTAAACATTATGTTTGTTTGTTTTTAAGATGACAAAAGATTTTGAAGAAGAGAAAAAGAATATCATCGCAACAGCTTTGGATCAATTTCACCAGGAAGTAGAGCATTCCCGATTCCAGCTGGAGCACCAACTGCTTTATCAGCATCAGCAAGAATTACAGAATCTTCTAGACTTCCATCAGCAAGAACTTTTGGATGTTAAAAGAAAGCAGTGGGTAAGTTTGATAGCTTACAGTTTCATTGTTATGTCCACTATCTTGTATGGATAATATTACGTCTGAACTAATTTGGAACAGGCTGTACAATTAACAGAATTTTGTTCTCATTTTCAAAACTCAGATAGTATTAATTCAATGTCCATATTGAAAAACGTTTTTTTTTTTTGAAGTGTTAGGTATCAAATTAGAACATGATGGAATGAAAAGAGCACTTGCATACTGGTTTATTTATATATGATGTGCGACTTTTTCCAAGTGTAGTTAGTAATTTTATACTGACCTGTTCAACAGAAATGATGTTTGTTAAAAAAAGAAGGGACAAAACTTGGGAACTATAATATAAAAAATAGTTTGTCTGTAAATTATTATTATTTTTTTGGTGGAGAGGTTAGATCTTAGTGGGTTTAATATATTACAGGAAATGATTGTCTTTTATGTATAACACTTACAAAACGGCTAGAAAAAACCTGTGAACCACGTACCCTGGTGTGTATTTTTATTACTGAAATACCTCTAGAAAATTTATTTAAACATTTTGAATAGATCTGGAATGGTCATCTAGATTAGATGTAATTTGGAAATGTACTTGTATCATCAAATTTCTAAACTCATCCTGATCAATGAAATGCTTCTTTTTTTTTTTATGTGTATGTTAGTGTACCATCTGCCAGATAGAAGCAAAGTACCAGTGCTGCTGGAATACTTACTATTGTAGTGTCGAGTGTCAGTACAAACACTGGGAGGAGCACAAATGGACGTGTCAGAAAAATGCTAGCACTGATCATAAGACAGACTGTTGAGAATTTCAAGTGTACAAAAAAAACAACAACAACTAGAGAAACGTCCAGTTTGATAGCAGTTGATTTTGGTTCTGTAAGTGACAGTCAAATAAATGCTAAGGAGTCTGGTTGTTACTATAACACTTATGGTAGGCATAAACTCTCTTCTTCCTGTGTTTGGGAGCTGAGTATTCTCTGGAGATGACACTGAATTAGAAAATATGAAACAACTACCTGCAGGTACAGCATTTGAAGACTGCATAAGTTACCCATAAAAATGGTTAGTGGATGTATTGGAAGATTCTGAATTATTCAACAGTTCTAAAATGTAGTTTATAAAATGAAACACTACGGCCCACATCTGCTACAAAATTCAAAAAAATATTGAATTCCTTGAGATCATCCTCACATGAACAAAACTAGAATCACTTGTGTACAGTAGCAGCACCTAGTGTAACGTAGGTATCGTTCCTTGAGATCCTCACATGAACAAAACTAGAATCACTTGTGTACAGTAGCAGCACCTAGTGTAACGTAGGTATCGTTCCTTGAGATCCTCACATGAACAAAACTAGAATCAC